TTCCATTGAGAATTACAATAGTTCCTCAATGTACATTGGGGAAAAAAAGTATTTAGTCAGCCACCAATTGTGCAAGTTCTCCCACTTAAAAAGATGAGAGAGGCCTGTAATTTTCATCATAGGTACACGTCAACTATGACAGACAAAATGAGAAAAATAAATCCAGAAAATCACATTGTAGGATTTTTTTATGAATTTATTTGCAAATTATGGTGGAAAATAAGTATTTGGTCAATAACAAAAGTTTCTCAATACTTTGTTATATACCCTTTGTTGGCAATGACACAGGTCAAACGTTTTCTGTAAGTCTTCACAAGGTTTTCACACACTGTTGCTGGTATTTTGGCCCATTCCTCCATGCAGATCTCCTCTAGAGCAGTGATGTTTTGGGGCTGTCGCTGGGCAACACGGACTTTCAACTCCCTCCAAAGATTTTCTATGGGGTTGAGATCTGGAGACTGGCTAGGCCACTCCAGGACCTTGAAATGCTTCTTACGAAGCCACTCCTTCGTTGCCCGGGCGGTGTGTTTGGGATCATTGTCATGCTGAAAGACCCAGCCACGTTTCATCTTCAATGCCCTTGCTGATGGAAGGAGGTTTTCACTCAAAATCTCACGATACATGGCCCCATTCATTCTTTCCTTTACACGGATCAGTCGTCCTGGTCCCTTTGCAGAAAAACAGCCCCAAAGCATGATGTTCCACCCCCATGCTTCACAGTAGGTATGGTGTTATTTGGATGCAATTCAGCATTCTTTGTCCTCCAAACACGACGAGTTGAGTTTTTACCAAAAAGTTCTATTTTGGTTTCATCTGACCATATGACATTCTCCCAATCCTCTTCTGGATCATCCAAATGCACTCTAGCAAACTTCAGACGGGCCTGGACATGTACTGGCTTAAGCAGGGGGAAACGTCTGGCACTGCAGGATTTGAGTCCCTGGCGGCGTAGTGTGTTACTGATGGTAGGCTTTGTTACTTTGGTCCCAGCTCTCTGCAGGTCATTCACTAGGTCCCCCCGTGTGGTTCTGGGATTTTTGCTCACCGTTCTTGTGATCATTTTGACCCCACGGGGTGAGATCTTGCATGGAGCCCCAGATCGAGGGAGATTATCAGTGGTCTTGTATGACTTCCATTTCCTAATAATTACTCCCACAGTTGATTTCTTCAAACCAAGCTGCTTACCTATTGCAGATTCAGTCTTCCCAGCCTGGTGCAGGTCTACCATTTTGTTTCTGGTGTCCTTTGACAGCTCTTTGGTCTTGGCCATAGTGGAGCTTGGAGTGTGACTGTTTGAGGTTGTGGACAGGTGTCTTTTATACTGATAACAAGTTCAAACAGGTGCCATTAATACAGGTAACGAGTGGAGGACAGAGGAGCCTCTTAAAGAATAAGTTACAGGTCTGTGAGAGCCAGTAATCTTGCTTGTTTGTAGGTGACCAAATACTTATTTTCCACCATAATTTGCAAATAAATTCATTAAAAATCCTACAATGTGATTTACTGGATTTTTTTTCTCAATTTGTCTGTCATAGTTGACGTGTACCTATGATGAAAATTACAGGCCTCTCTCATCTTTTTAAGTGGGAGAACTTGCACAATTGGTGGCTGACTAAATACTTTTTTCCCCCACTGTATTTAAAAAATCTTGCCAGCTCTCTCGGTTTCGATAACCACTCAGCGTGAAAGGGAAAAACGTCATGCTCTGATCCAGTGGAAACGTCATAAAATAGGCCTATCTGATTACTTCTTATCAGTGCTTGACTTGGACTGAAATAGGTTCCGGTACTCATTTTGGGTGCTGGTACTGTTTTATATTTAGGTGCAGGAGCTCCACAATAGTTTTGAGCTAATATTCTATAAGAGGAACAGGAGCTCAAGCAGTAGAACATTTAAGTTGCTGGTATTCAGCTCCTGTGAGCTCCTGCCCAAATCAAGCAATGCTTCTTATCCCTTGCGCAAATAGCCTACAGCTGTGTCTGTCCCGAGCTCACTGGCGCAGAAAGTCTGAGGACCCAGAATATTTTATACAATGTTGCAAGTTTGCTAGCTCAAGCTTCAGGCCAGACCCAAGTTAATAGTTGATACAATGTTTCAAGTTTGTCGCAATGTGTAGCCAATGTGATTTATAAGATATGTATTTTTATCAGGATATTTTCTACCTGCAGGCTACAATGTTTTTATTTGTCTTTATGTAGGCAATTTTTACATACAGTGGGGAAAACAAGTATTTGATACACTGCCGATTTTGCAGGTTTTCCTACTTACAAAGCATGTAGAGGTCTGTAATTTTTATCATAGGTACACTTCAACTGTGAGAGACAGAATCTAAAACAAAAATCCAGAAAATCACATTGTATGATTTTTAAGTAATTAATTTGCATTTTATTGCATTACATAAGTATTTGATCACCTACCAACCAGTAAGAATTCCGTCTCTCACAGACCTGTTAGTTTTTCTTTAAGAAGCCCTCCTGTTCTCCACTCATTACCTGTATTAACTGCACCTGTTTGAACTCATTACCTGTATAAAAGACAACTGTCCACACACTCAATCAAACAGACTCCAACCTATCCACAATGGCCAAGACCAGAGAACTGTGTAAGGACATCAGGGATAGAATTGTAGACCTGCACAAGGCTGGGATGGGCTACAGGACAATAGGCAAGCAGCTTGGTGAGAAGGCAACAACTGTTGGCGCAATTATTAGAAAATGGAAGAAGTTCAAGATGACGGTCAATCACCCTCAGTCTGGGGCTCCATGCAAGATCTCACCTCGTGGGGCATCAATGATCATGAGGAAGGTAAGGGATCAGCCCAGAACCACACGGCAGGACCTGGTCAATGACCTGAAGAGAGCTGGGACCACAGTCTCAAGAAAAACCATTAGTAACACACTACGCCGTCATGGATTAAAATCCTGCAGCGCACGCAAGGTCCCCCTGCTCAAGCCAGCGCATGTCCAGGCCCGTCTGAAGTTTGCCAATGACCATCTGGATGATCCAGAGGAGGAATGGGAGAAGGTCATGTGGTCTGATGAGACAAAAATAGAGCTTTTTGGTCTAAACTCCACTCGCCGTGTTTGGAGGAAGAAGAAGGATGAGTACAACCCCAAGAACACCATCCCAACCGTGAAGCATGGAGGTGGAAACATCATTCTTTGGGGATGCTTTTCTGCAAAGGGGACAGGACGACTGCACCGTATTGAAGGGAGGATGGATGGGGCCATGTATCGCGAGATCTTGGCCAACAACCTCCTTCCCTCAGTAAGAGCATTGAAGATGGGTCGTGGTTGGGTCTTCCAGCATGACAACGACCCGAAACACACAGGAAGGGCAACTAAGGAGTGGCTCCGTAAGAAGCATCTCATGGTCCTGGAGTGACCTAGCCAGTCTCCAGACCTTAACCCAATAGAACATCTTTGGAGGGAGCTGTAAGTCCGTATTGCCCAGCAACAGCCCCGAAACCTGAAGGATCTGGAGAAGGTATGGAGTAGTGGGCCAAAATCCCTGCTGCAGTGTGTGCAAACCTGGTCAAGACCTACAGGAAACATATGATCTCTGTAATTGCAAACAAAGGTTTCTGTACCAAATATTAAGTTCTGCTTTTCTGATGTATCAAATACTTATGTCATACAATAAAATGCAAATTAATTACTTAAAAATCATACAATGTGATTTTCTGGATTTTTGTTTTAGATTCCATCTCTCACAGTTAAAGTGTACCTATGATAACAATTACAGACCTCTACATGCTTTGTAAGTAGGAAAACCTGCAAAATCGGCAGTGTATCAAATACTTGTTCTCCCCACTGTAGTTGGCAATGGCAATAGAAGTTACTTTTTAGGTTTGTATCATTTCATTTAGATTTGGATAGCATTTTCATTAACCACATGAAAATGATTTTGAGATATGAAGACATTATTATAAATTAATTGAAACTGTTTCACGAAAATGTGCATACAAAAACCATAACTGGCACGCAGATCGGTAGAAATGGTAAGATAAATTGGCATTCAACATGAGAAAGGTTGTCGACTCCTCGTGTAGCCTATTACCGGCAACTTCAGGAGAGTAATGGCAGAATCTGCGAAAGCCAGCAGGAGCGGCAGGAGAATAGTTGGGTCAGGTATATATATTTTTCTTCTGTTATCTAGATCTCTGGCTCCCTCTTGAGGCAGTTCTTATTTCATCAAAACGTAAGCTTAAAGCATCAGACAAGCTCAATGCATATAGTTTATTTTATTAAAACACAAAGGGTGTGTCTATATATGGAAAAATACACGTTTAAGAATTTCGACCAATCGATTTATTTGGGTGAGTTACAGTCCTAATGCACAAGCTCCTTTTTCTATACTCCTATCGAATAAATAATTGTATTAAGTCATACACAGGTTTTACTGTGCATGAAGTTTCAAATGCATTCTGTCATTACTAAATGTGTAATGTGATAGGTATTTTAACATTACTATTTTTTTAACACACACACACACACACAAAAATCAGTCTTCCCCAAATGAAGGGAATGATGATACAATCTTTATTGAAAGTGAATTTTATTTCATTTGTCTTCAACTCGTGGCTCAGACACTTAATTCACGATAAATGGAGTTAGCCCTGAGTTAGCCTGAGCCGGAGCAGGTTAGTTCTGAAGGATTCGTTGACATAGAAATTGACCTGGCTAAAAGGTGAGCCACTTTCGTGTTACTGGTTATCCCGAGTTTAACTCAGATTTGACCAAAGTTACCTCGCTAACTCAAACCAAGTACGTAGCATAGGGCTCTGGGGTGTGAAAATTCCTGCTGCAGCTGATGATGCAATTTTACCCAACCAATAAAAAAACATTTCACAATAATAAACCTTTATGTTCCCTAAATCTGTATTTTTAAGAACATGCCACCACTGTTTTTGGATAATAAATCCACCACGGCAACTTCAACTCTACTATCTTGACTGTGATCTTAACAACAATAATGATATTGTTTTTGTTCATCTGCAGAATTGCCAGTAGAATTAAACACTGCATCATCATGGGCCGCCTGGACGGGAAAGTCATTGTGTTGTCAGCAGGAGCCCAGGGCATTGGAAGAGCTGCAGCCATTGTAATTTTTACTTAATTTACCTTTCACCACACCGCTAGGCTACATTTGCTAAACAAATATACACTGAGTGTACAATACATTAGGAACACCTTAATGAGTTGCACCCCCTTTTGCCCTCAGAACAGCCTCAATTCGTCGGGGCATGGACTTTACAAGGTGTTGAAAGCGTTCCACAGGGATGCTGGCCCATGTTGACTCCAATGCTTCCCACAGTTGTGTCAAGTTGGCTAGATGTCCTTTGGGAGAGGACCATTCTTGATACACACAGAAAACTGTTGAGCATGAAAAACCCTGCAGTGTTGCAGTTCTTGACACACTCAAACCGGTGTGCCTGGCACCCACTACCATACCCCGTTCAAAGGCACTTAAATATTTTGTCTTGCCCATTCACCCTCTGAATAGCACACATACACAATCCATGACTCGAGGCTTAAAATTACTTCTTTAACTTGTCTCCTCCCCTTCATCTACACACTGATTTGAAGTGGATGTAACAAGTGACATCAATAAGGGACCATACCTTTCACCTAGATTCATCTGGTCAGTCTGTCATGGAAAGAGCAGGTGTTTCTAATATTTTGTATACTCAGTGTAGATATGGTGAATTTGATTGTTAAGGCTCTCAGAAACACCCTCTATGACGGGGGTCGGCAACAGGCAGCCCACGTGCCAAATTCGGCCCATGAGCGTTTTTATTAGGTCCCCCAAAGACTGTAACCAAGAATTCAGGATTTTAAAAATCCATTCCAAAGTATTCCCACAAATAGAGACCTATGTGATCATGTCTCAATCAAGGTATGACATTCTTGTATCTATTTGGGTTTACTTGCAGTCAATTTACAGTGTACAAATTATTATAATTATGTTCTGGCCCGCTAAACCTAGTTGCCTACTCCTGCTCTAAGAGTTGTATAATGATGTAAAGTATTCATTTGAACATTTTACTGATATTTTGTGTGAACTGTGAATAACCATGAAAGTAATATTCTGTCATTTTAACTGTAGGCCTTTGCCAAAGAAGGAGCTCAAGTCACCGCAACAGATATCAATGGAGAAAAGCTGAAGGAACTGGATGGCCACCCTGGTACAGTTTATTTGTGTTTACTACCGTCATTTACTGGGCATCCTGAGAATTAAGGAGTGCCCTTCATTCATTTCAAATCTTAAAATACATCAAGACATCAATTTGTATGCAATACCCCTAGTACACCCCAATGAACGTTTCTATTCTAGTTGGTGTAGATTTAACATTTATGTTTTACTTAAGTTGATAAAAAGTTGCTTGAATATTTCCTAAATGTGTTACAGAGCTAGTGTAGTATTTGCTCAGCTACTCACTTTTTCTATTTTTCCTGGTGTTTAAAGGTGCAATCTGTGTTCATACAATAACAGAGTAGGATCCCTGCCACTGTTTTGGTAAACTGCTGAAGGATGGGGCTGGAGAAATGTAACCACTCTCAGATTCATAGGAGCTATGTAAGGACTGACCATCCATGATATCAAAAGTATAGTTTTAAAGTTTTAACCATGTTTGTTTACAATTACATTCTTTACAAACAATAGAGTAAAACAAGCTTATGTTTTGGGTTCTGATGGGGTATCTATATTATACCGTAAGCCACAAAATTGCAGCGGGATCTCCTACAATTTTGCTTTGACTTGCTTCATTTTAGGCTCAAAAGAAGCATGTTGTCCGGGGAAATGCCACTGGCCACTTTTTTGGGATTTGAATTGCACTCACACATTTTCTAACTTTTATTTTAAATAAAAAAGGGGGTAAAGATGGGTAAAAGCTGGAAGGGTTGACTCTGGCTTGAACCCCGGTCTCTGGCGGGTTGCATATGTGATGAGCACAGGGAGAGTTACCACTCAGCCACAGCTCTGCAAACCCAGCTAAATTTTAAACCAAATAATTGTTCAATATTGCAAACATAGGGTGACATTTTGCGTGAGCAAAATAACCATAATGTTTTAAATAAACGAGAAGTTGCAAATAGCTTATTAGCAGCCTGAACGTGTGCTTTGGAGTGGGGGCTATTGAGTGAACGGTTCTGTGATGGTTCCAGTCCACAAATATGAAATTGCATTGAATCAGATTAATCAGATCCATTGATTTACCATCCGTAGGGCAGGGTGCCACGAAGTTATATTCTTAAAGAATCAATGGATAGGATATGTAAATTAATTTAAAAGTGCAAAATTGATGTACCATTTGCAGATTGCCCCTGTAAGTTATTAACGCTTACCTTTTAGGATAGCAGAACACTGGTATTGTCAAAGGCTGCATTAAAACAATATTCATGGTTTTATCTCAAACCATGCTCTTTAAGTGTAAGGGGTAGTTGTATATTTTCAGGGGTTACTAACTGCTCTTATTACAATACATTCCAATGCTTAAATGCATTTATATGACATGTGCAGTGATCACAGTACCTTATACCCAACCATGCCTATGGTTGAGGCATGGTTGTTTGGTTATGGTAGATATTCCTCTCATAGTGAGTGACTTAAAAGGGACAGTGTACCGCTTCCTTCCGTGCATGTTAAACCTCCCACACCTACTAATCTATTAAAGAGATGCAGCGGGATCCTCCAAACGATGTCAGTATTTTTCAAACCTCACAATTTGGACTCCAGATGCATTATATACCATCTGGAGTCATGTCCTAGTGGATAAAGCTACTCAATCCTTACATCGCAAGCCTTACATTCAAACCTTACATCTCAACATTTCATGCCTGTGCCCTACACGTTCGTTCCTTCCATTTTGTGGCCGCGCTCTGAAGGTACACTGGGTTGCCCACATGCTTAGATATTTTTGATAACAGCGAGAATAAATGGATCAAAGGAATGCAACAGAAGTTAGAATGCATTAGATATTAAAGTTACATCTATAGTATACCACCCCGTGGGCCTGAAAGTAAAAAAAGGCTAAATAAATATATAATTGGTTTGTATGTGTGGGGCTTTAGCTGAGATTGTTCTTTAGAGCCAAGTATATTATGTCAAGGCCTCAATTGTTCCTTGATTAGCACCATTCATTCTCACTGTCGATAATTCTGTTATAACTTCTAATAGTAACTGTATCCACTGGTTTAAATGGGAGAGGGTGAGGTGATTGACATCTTAGAGCCCAACATTTATTTTTTCATCACAGCTGCCTGCCAGCAGTAATCTTCTTTGATTGAGAGATTTAAGGAGCTATCATCGTTAAGTAACATAATATATGCAAAGCATTGAATATTTAAATTCATGCACTTCGAAATGAATTTTAACTTTGCCCCAGAAGGATTTAACTGCAGGGCACTCCCACATCATATTAAGGAATGTGCCTACCTGATTTAGGGGACACAGTGGACAGTTGGGAGTTGGGGCCAATTTCATCGTAAAAGTTTAAATTAATGGTTCGGATTACGGGATGCCAAGGTCATATTTTTCCATATTCTGTTCCAGTTAAAGGGTTGTTCTGATTCAATTAGATTTACATTTTAGTCATTTAGCAGACACTCTTATCCAGAGTGACTTACAGGAGCAATTAGGGTTAAGTGCCTTGCTCAAGGGCACATTGACAGATTTTTCACCTAGTCGGCTCGGGGATTAGAACCAGCGACCTTTCGGTTACTGGCACAACGCTCTTAACCACTAAGCTACCTGCTGCCCCAGTATGTTGAACATACTTTTTTTTATGGCTAGCTCATAATGAGCTTTCCAAAAGTTTATCTATTATAGCGATCAGTTCTTTTGGGAGCCTAGAGTTTATTTATAAATCCCATAATTGGATGGTTTGGTAGTTTGGTTTCCCAAGGGTCTCCATAGGCCAGCATAGCTGACCTAAGTTGTAAATATAGAAAAAAAGCAATTGCCTGGTAATGTGTATGTATCTTTCAAATTTTGGAAGGTTCTCAAACCATTGCTGTCCATGATATCGGCAAGTGTACAGATTCCATGTCTCCTGAGTGGCGCAGTGGTCTAAGGCACTGCATCGCAGTGCTAACTGTGCCACTAGATCCTGGTTCGAATGCAGGCTCTGTCGCAGCCGGCCGTGACCGGGAGACTCATGGGCGGCGCACAATTGGCCCAGCGTCATCCAGGGTAGGGGAGGGTATGGCCGGCAGGGATGTAGCTCAGTTGATAGAGCATGGCGTTTGCAACGGGGGGCCAGTATAAAAAAATAAATGTATTCACTAACTGTAAGTCGCTCTGGATAAGAGCGTCTGCTAAATGACTAAAAATGTAAATGTAATTCCACATTTGGACCATTGAGGGGATGCAAAAGGCCGCCCTCTAGATCGCAAGGCATTATTGTGAAATATTGGGAGTATGTATGGGCATGCCGTTTTGATTCCAAGTTACAGTGTTTTTCAATTGTGTGCCAATTAGAAATTGTGTAAGCAATAATGGGACAAAAGCGTAGTTTACATTGTTTAAGGGAAATATCAGTGAAGACCACCTCTTCCTTGGCAATAGGAGACACCATATTTATCTCTATACTCAGCCAGGGGGCAGAAGAATCATGTCTAAACCAATTTAGGATGGGGCGAAATGCTAGTGCCTGGAAATACGTCTTTCCCTCTGTAAATGTGTTAATTTTATTCGGGATCGTTTACCTTGCCATATACAGTGGATTCGGAAAGTGTTCAGAAGCCTTGACTCTTTCCACATTTTGTTACATTACAGCCTTAATCTAAAATTGATTAAATCATTTTTTCCCCTCGTCAATCTACAGACAATACCCCATAATGACAAAGCAATGACAGGTTTTTTGAAATTTTAGCAAATGTATACAAATAAAACCCCCGGAAATATCACATTTACATAAGTATTCAGTCCATTTACTCAGTGTTGAAGCACCTTTGGCAGCGATTACAGCCTTGAATCTTCTTGGGTATGATGCTACAAGTTTGGCACACCTGTATTTGGGGAGTTTCTCCCATTCTTCTCTACAGATCCTCTCAAGCTCTGTCAGGTTGGATGCGGAGCGTCGCTGCACAGCTATTTTCAGGTCTCTCTAGAGATGTTCGATCAGGTTCAAGTCCGGGTTCTGGCTGGCCACTCAAGGACATTCAGAGACTTGTCCCGAAGCCACTCCTGCGTTGTCTTGGCTGTGTGCTGTGGCAATATATTCATTTGACAATAGATAATATGCTGGTTAAAGCAACTGGGATATTATTCCATCTACTGAGGTTGATTTTGAATATTCTGTTAAAGTTTCTGGCAATGGTTTTATCGAAGGAAGGGAATATATGGGTCTTTCTATAAATAATGGGGCCGATGTGTGACATTGGGATCAACATTTCTAAATGGTTTGAAACTAAAATAACAATTATTTTCAAGCAGTTCCACGTGTGTACTTGCAAATTGGCCCATAACTCCACCTATATACAGCCTAGAACTATACATCCTTTAAGCAGGGTTCATACAGACATTGACAAGTCAAATTCAAGGACTTTCAGAGACCTTTTCAAGCACTTAATTGTAATTCAAGGACCTCAATGTTAACATTTACATTTACATCATTTAGCAGACGCTCTTATCCAGAGCGACTTACAAATTGGTGCATTCAACTTATGATAGCCAGTGGGACAACCACTTAATTTATTTTTATTGGGGGGAGGGGGGAGGGAGGGGTAGAAGGATTACTTTTATACTATTCCAGGTATTCCTTAAAGAGGTAGGGTTTCAAGTGTCTCCGGAAGGTGGTCAGTGACTCCGCTGTCCTGGCGTAGTGGGGGAGCTTGTTCCACCATTGGGGTGCCAGAGCAGCGAATAGCTTTGACTGGGCTGAGCGGGAACTGTGCTTCCGTAGAGGTAGGGGGGCTAGCAGGCCAGAGGTGGATGAACGTAGTGCCCTCGTTTGGGTGTAGGGTCTGATCAGTGCCTGAAGGTAAGGAGGTGCCGTTCCCTTCACAGCTCCGTAGGCAAGCACCATGGTCTTGTAGTAGATGCAAGCCTCAACTGGATCCCGTGGAGTGTGCGGAGGCGCGGGGTGACATGAGAGAACTTGGGAAGGTTGAACACCAGGCGGGCTGCATCGTTCTGGATAAGTTGTAGGGGTTTAATGGCACAGGCAGGGAACCCAGCCAACAGCGAGTTGCAGTAATCCAGACGGGAGATGACAAGTGCCTGGATTAGGACCTGTGCCGCTTTCTGTGTGAGGTAGGGTCGTACTCTGCGAATGTTGTAGAGCATGAACCTGCAGGATCAGGTCACCGCTTTGATGTTAGCGGAGAACAACAGGGTGTTGTCCAGGGTCACGCCAAGGTTCTTTGCACTCTGGGAGGAGGACACAATGGAGTTGTCAACCGTGATGGCGAGATCATGGAGCGGGCAGTCCTTCCCCGGGAGGAAGAGCAGCTCCGTCTTGCCGAGGTTCAGCTTGAGGTGGTGATCCGTCATCCACACTGATAAGTCTGCCAGACATGCAGAGAAGCGATTTGCCACCTGGTTATCAGAAGGGGGAAAGGAGAAAATTAATTGTGTGTCGTCTGCGTAGCAATGATAGGAGAGACCATGTGAGGATATGACAGAGCCAAGTGACTTGGTGTATAGGGAGAATAGGAGAGGGCCTAGAACTGAACCCTGGCGGACACCAGTGGTGAGAGCACGTGGTGCGGAGACAGATTCTCGCCACGCCACCTGGTAAGAGCGACCTGTCAGGTAGGACGCAATCCAAGAGTGAGCAGCGCCGGAGATGCCCAACTCGGAGAGGGTGAAGAGGAGGATCTGATGGTTCACAGTATCAAAGGCAGCAGATACAGTGGGGAGAACAAGTATTTGATACACTGCCAATTTTGCAGGTTTTCCTACTTACAAAGCATGTAGAGGTCTGTAATTTTTATCATAGGTACACTTCAACTGTGAGAGACGGAATCTAAAACAAATTGCATGACATAAGTATTTGATACATCAGAAAAGCAGAACTTATTTATATTTGGTACAGAAACCTTTGTTTGCAATTACAGAGATCATATGTTTCCTGTAGGTCTTGACCAGGTTTGCACACACTGCAGCAGGGATTTTGGCCCACTCCTCCATACAGACCTTCTACAGATCCTTCAGGTTTCGGGGCTGTCGCTGGGCAATACGGACTTTCAGCTCCCTCCAAATATTTTCTATTGGGTTCAGGTCTGGAGACTGGCTAGGCCACTCCAGGACCTTGAGATGCTTCTTACGGAGCCACTCCTTAGTTGCCCTGGCTGTGTGTTTTCGGGTCGTTGTCATGCTGGAAGACCCAGACACGACCCATCTTCAATGCTCTTACTGAGGGAAGGAGGTTGTTGGCCAAGATCTCGCGATACATGGCCCCATCCATCCTCCCCTCAATACGGTGCAGTCGTCCTGTCCCCTTTGCAGAAAAGCATCCCCAAAGAATGATGTTTCCACCTCCATGCTTCACGGTTGGGATGGTGTTCTTGGGGTTGCACTCATCCTTCTTCTTCCTCCAAACACGGCGAGTGGAGTTTAGACCAAAAAGCTCTATTTTTGTCTCATCAGACCACATGACCTTCTCCCATTCCTCCTCTGGATAATCCAGATGGTCATTGGCAAACTTCAGACGGGCCTGGACATGCGCTGGCTTGAGCAGGGGGACCTTGCGTGCGCTGCAGGATTTTAATCCATGACGGCGTAGTGTGTTACTAATGGTTTTCTTTGAGACTGTGGTCCCAGCTCTCTTCAGGTCATTGACCAGGTCCTGCCGTGTAGTTCTGGGCTGATCCCTCACCTTCCTCATGATCATTGATGCCCCACGAGGTGAGATCTTGCATGGAGCCCCAGACCGAGGGTGAACTTCTTCCATTTTCTAATAATTGCGCCAACAGTTGTTGCCTTCTCACCAGCTGCTTGCCTATTGTCCTGTAGCCCATCCCAGCCTTGTGCAGGTCTACAATTTTATCCCTGATGTCCTTACACAGCTCTCTGGTCTTGGCCATTGTGGAGAGGTTGGAGTCTGTTTGATTGAGTGTGTGGACAGGTGTCTTTTTATACAGGTAACGAGTTCAAACAGGTGCAGTTAATACAGGTAATAAGTGGAGAACAGGAGGGCTTCTTAAAGAAAAACTAACAGGTCTGTGAGAGCCGGAATTCTTACTGGTTGGTAGGTGATCAAATACTTATGTCATGCAATAAAATGCAAATTAATTACTTAAAAATCATACAATGTGATTTTCTGGATTTTTGTTTTAGATTCCGGCTCTCACAGTTGAAGTGTACCTATGATAACAATTACAGACCTCTACATGCTTTGTAAGTAGGAAAACCTGCAAAATCGGCAGTGTATCAAATACTTGTTCTCCCCACTGTAGGTCTAGAAGGATAAGAGCAGAGGAGAGAGAGTTAGCTTTAGCAGTGCGGAGAGCCTCCGTGACACAGAGAAGAGCAGTCTCAGTTGAATGACCAGTCTTGAAACCTGACTGGTTTGGATCAAGAAGGTCATTCTGAGAGAGATAGCAGGAGAGTTGGCTAGAGATGGCACGCTCAAGAGTTTTGGAGAGAAAAGAAAGAAGGGATACTGGTCTGTAGTTGTTGACATCGGAGGGATCGAGTTTATGTTTTTTGAGGAGGGGTGCAACTCTCGCTCTCTTGAAGGGTGAGGTAAGGGAGAAGGTCTCTGGAAATGGTCTGGAGAAGAGAGGAGGGGATAGGGTCAAGCGGGCAGGTTGTTGGGCGGCCGGCCGTCACAAGTCGCAAGATTTCATCTGGAGAGAGAGGGGAGAAAGAAGTCAAAGCATAGGGTAGGGCAGTGTGAGCAGGACCAGCGGTGTCATTTGACTTAATAAATGAGGATCGGATGTCATCAACCTTCTTTTCAAAATGGTTGACAAAGTCATCCACAGAGAGGGAGGAGGGAGGGGGAGGAGGAGGAGGATTCAGCAGGGAGGAGAAGGTGGCAAAGAGCTTCCTAGGGTTAGAGGCAGAGGCTTGAAATTTAGAGTGGTAGAAAGTGGCTTTAGCAGCGGAAACAGAGGAAGAGAATGTAGAGAGGAGGGAGTGAAAAGATGACAGGTCCGCTGGGACTCTAGTTTCCATTTCCGCTTGGCTTCCCGGAGCCCTGTTCTGTGAGCTCGCAATGAGTCGTCAAGCCACGGAGCAGGAGGGGAGGACCGAGCCGGCCGGGAGTATAGGGGACATAGAGAGTCAAAAGATGCAGAAAGGGAGGAGAGGAGGGTTGAGGAGGAAGAATCAGGAGATCGGAGGGAGAAGGATTTAGCAGAGGGAAGAGATGATAGGATGGAAGAGGAGAGTAGCGGGAGAGAGAGCGAAGGTTGCGACGGCACATTACCATCTGAGTAGGGGCAGATTGAGTAGTGTTGGAGGAGAGCGAGAGAGAAAAGGATACAAAGTAGTGGTCGGAGACTTGGAGGGGAGTTGCAGTGAGATTAGTAGAAGAACAGCATTTAGTAAAGATGAGGTCAAGCGTATTGCCTGCCTTGTGAGTAGGGGGGGACGGTGAGAGGGTGAGCTCAAAAGAGGAAAGAAGGAGGCAGAGAGAAATGAGTCAAAGGCAGACGTAGGGAGGTTAAAGTCATCCAGAACTGTGAGTGGTGAGCCATCCTCAGGAAAGGAACTTATCAAGGCGTCAAGCTCATTGATGAACTCTCCAAGGGAACCTGGAGGGCGATACATGAAAAGGATTTTAAGCTTGAATGGGCTAGTGACTGTGACAGCATGGAATTCAAATGAGGAGATAGACAGATGGGTCAGGGGAAAAAGAGAGAATGTCCACTTGGGAGAGATGAGGATTCCTGTGCCACCGCCACGCTGACCAGATGCCCTCGGGGTATGCGAGAACACATGATCAGACGAGGAAAGAGCAGTAGGAGTAGCAGTGTTTTCTGTGGTAATCCATGTTTCCATCAGCGCCAAGAAGTCGAGGGACTGGAGGGTAGCATAGGCTGAGATGAACTCTGCCATGTTGGCCGCAGAACGGCAGTTCCAGAGTCTGCCGGAGACCTGGAACTCCACGTGGGTCGTGCGCCCAGGGATTTTTGGGGTTAGTTTTGACAGTTTGAGAGAGTACGTCGTCAACTTATTCAGCCAGTTCTTTAGCTAGCTAGAATAGTTAGCATATTAGCTAGCCATTGCTCTCTGTCAACGAACCAACCCCTCCTCCCGCGGTATGAAACACACAGAGAGAGCCAAGCTAACGTTAACTAGTCACCCATGTCTTGAATTCCTTTTGAACGACTCTGGTTACCAGTATGTAAAAATAAATTTAAAATAAATGTAGGTTATAACTTACCCTTAGTAGCTACTGTTAGCTAGTTACGTGTAAAGCTAGCTACTGAATCGATTTAGCCAGTTCGCGTCTGTTATACATTTGTATAATTTATATAATTGTACATATAGGACCTAATACATCCCCCCCCCCACCCCCAACCAACCACACACAGACACACACTTTAATCATATTTTTTTATGCCTTGCCAATGTATTGATATTTAGTGGCGGTCGGTGCCATTTAAGTTGGCTTTATTTCTATTACAGCATATTGGATGACAGTCATTCATATTCCATTCAATGTAACATCGATAGGTTTAGGCTACTACATGATACTCTAATTTTCTCTGTACCCGTCATGAGGTTGCTACAACCTAGCCTATGAATGAATGTTTACAATGTGTGTGTATATATAAGTTTACACACGTCGAGAATGTTGAGTAATCAAGGTGACAGACAGTGACACATTCAATACTGCCTTGCACGCTCTTGCCTGCATCTAGCTGATCTAGTGTGTAATCATTAGTCCAACAGTTGCAAATCAGAGTTTCTATTGGACAAATTCAGGTATGTTTATCTCCGTTTCGTTCTGTTTAAGAAACGTTTTTCAACAGTCGGTGGAATGAATACACCCCTGATCACATGCAAACACAGTTCACTTTCATAGCAGCCACATAAAACAGCATGATCACTTTGGTCGTTGTATATATAATTTTTTCTCGCAACTATCTACACACTGTCCTCCTCACCTTTTCCCTTCACTTGTGGACTTCCGTGCACAACACATCAGCTGTCTGTGACCAGGCGAAAAAACCTTTCCAAGCCAAACCTTCATACACTATATATACAAAAGTATGTGGACACCCCTTCAAATTAGTGGATTTGGCTATTTCAGCCACACCCGTTGCTGAAAAGTGTATAAAATCGAGCACACAGCCATGCAATCTCCATAGACAAACATTGGCAGTAGTATGGCCTTACGGAAGAGCTCAGTGACATTCAACGTGGCACCTTTCCAACAAGTCAGTTTGTCAAATTTCTGCCCTGCTAGAGCTGCCCCAGTCAACTACAAGTGCTGTTATTGTGAAGTGGAAACATATAGGATCAACAACAGCTCAGCCGCAACGTGGTAGGCCACACAAGCTAACAGAACAGGACTGCTGAAGCGCGTAGCGCGTAAAAATTGTCTGTCACCGGTTGCAACACTCACTACCAAGTTACAAACTGCCTCTGGAAGCAACGTCAGCACAATAACTGTTCGTCGGCAGCATCATGAAATGGGTTTCCATGGCCGAGCAGCCCCACACACGCCTAAAATCACAATGCGCTGGAGTGGTGTAAAGCTTGCCGCCATTGGACTCTGGAGCAGTGGAAACGCGTTCTGTGGAGTGATGAATCACGCTTCACCATCTGGCAGTCCGACGGACTGGGTTTGGCGGATGCCAGGAGAACGATACCTGCCCGAATGCATTGTGCCAACTGTAAAGTTAGGTGGAGGAGGAATAATGGTCTGGGACTGTTTTTCATAGTTTGGGCTAGGCCCCTTAGTTCCAGTGAAGGGAAATCTTAATGCTACAGCATACAATGACATTCTAACGATTCTGTGCTTCCAACTTTGTGGCAACAGTTTGGGGAAGGCCCTTTCCCGTTTCAGCATCACAGTGCCCCCGTGCACAACGCGAGGTCCATACAGAAATGGTTTGTCAAGATCGGTGTGGAACAACTTGAATGGCCTGCACAGAGCCCTGACCTCAACCCCATCGAACACCTTTGGTATGAATTGGAACGCCGACTGCGAGCCAGGCCTAATCGCCCAACATCAGTGCCCAACCCTACTAATGCTCTTGTTGCTGAATGGAAGCAAGTCCCTACAGCAATGTTCCAACATCTAGTGGAAAGCCTTCCCGGAAGAGTGGTTGCTGTTATAGCAGCAAAGGGGGGGACCAACACCATATAAATGCCCATGCTTTTGGAATGAGATGTTCGACGAGCAGGTGTCCACATACTTTTGGTAATGTAGTGTATCATGACCGCTAACTGCTACACACAGCCTACATCATTGTCATGTCATAGTCAACATAGCTACTAAAACTAACGCGTTAGTAAACCTGCCACAATCATGCAGTACAGTCAGAAAGCAGTTTAGCAGTTACACCGGCGGGTCCCAGTGACAATAAATTAATAAAACCAAAAGCTTACCTTGGCATACAGTGTTGGATAGCCATAGCCAGCTAGCTAACATGGCATCCCTATCTGTTTGAGTAAACTAAACTAGCTAGCTGCATTAGCTAGCAAAGTGAAAGTAAAAAAAATATAAATAAATATATATATATATATAAATATATATATATATTGTGACGTCACGAGAGGCTACACAGCTTTCAGCGGGATTGCTCAAGTAGTGCAAGGAGACAAGGTTCAAACAAAACAAGGATTTTATTAAAGGTCTTGGGAAATTAACGAAAATATAACAAAATTCTGTTCTCTTGTGGCTCTTTAAGGGTTAACAGTTCAGGGATGTCTCTTCCACATCCAAAATCATAATTCTCACTCGCTCAGATAACTTTTCCCCAGCCTTACTGTAGTCCACGTTGCAGCTAGTGGCCAACCCAGCAAAAAGTCCTTCCAAATGTCTCTCACGTATTTCCACAGGCGAATATATCCAAAGGTGAGTATTTCCCAAAGGTAAGTATCTCCAAATCCTTATATTCCTCATGGAAGTGGACGTGCAGCACTCTTGTCCTCCAGAGAGCCCAGGTTGGAGACTGTGTTTCTTCACCACCTGCACACCCACCCTCAGTGTGTCTCTTCCCTTCAAAAACCTTCAGCTCATCAGCTCCTGATTTGTTTCAGCTGCGTGGGAAGATTGGCCATAGAGGGGTGGAGTTCCCGACCATACCAGCAGATGGAGCCATAGCTGTCTGGGTTTGCAGCCATCTCAGGGGGATGTAACGTCCCTCCAGGACACAGCCTCTCGTGACATCACACATCCCCCTCCTCGGGACCGACGTCCTCGTCGGGGTAAAGGCAGCGAAGAAGGCATCACGCCGGGAGAGGGCGTCCGCATTGCCGTGGTGCTTGCCAGCCCATACTGGCCTGTGAGAGGGGGAAGCTCTTGGGTGCCTGGGACGTCTTCTTCCCTGGAGAACGGAGCACTTTCCTGGGCTGCGTTCTCTTCTCCCGTATCCGGACCAGTCTCTGTGTCGGTCTGGGCACCTGCCATCCCTATCAGAGCCTCTCCGTTTCCGAGGTACTCGGGTTATCCTCTCCTGAGACTCTCTCCAGAGTGGGTAAAAGGCTGGGCAGTCTCGTCCAATTAGGACAGGGACGGGGAGGGAATCAACCACCCCCGCCGTCGTGTGTATGGTTCCCCGTGTGCTGGTCATTGTAAGTTCAGTAATGGGGTATTCTCTGGTGTCTCCATGGACACAGGAAACTGGGAGGACTTTCCCCGGGGTCAGACACGTTGGGCCCACCAAATCCTTACGCACCAGGGTGGCCCGGCTACCAGAATCTAGTAAGGCCTCCACATCATGGTGATTCACAGTTACCGGGCAGGTGGGGGGTCGATCTGGGCCGCCATCTACGACTCCCAAGAGCGAGGCAAAACGGTGTGTGGGTGCTGAGCTGGAGGACTCCGCAGTGGGCATAGGTTCATCGGCTGGTTTCCCACACTGCCAGGAGATATGTCCCATCTCCCCACACCGGTAACACTGTCGAGTTTCCCCCTCCTGGTGTACTCTTCTTGGACCCGCCTGGTTTCTGGCTCCCCCTGGAGCCGGGATAAGTCCTGACGTGGCTGGGTTCGAGACCTTGGGGTCCTTTGGACGGGTTCTTCCCATTTGTGGTGGGGGCGCACTCCTGGGGTCTTTTCGGGAAGCATTCAGCATCTCCGCTGTGGCCTGGTACTTTTCCACAGCTTCCACGGTCAGATCAGCCGTGGTCAAGGCCTGTTGACTGATGAACCGTTTTGCCTCATAAGGCAGGGCGCGTAGGTAACGATCCACCACAACGGCCTCCACCACCGCCGCTGCTGTATTCCTCTGCGGATCCAGCCATTTCCTTGCGATTCGGACAAGTTCATGCATCTGCGCCCGAGGAGGTTGGTCTGGTTGGAAGGTCCAGCTGTGAAAGCGCTGGGCCATACCAAACTTTGTGAGTCCATATCTGCTGAGGATCTCAGACTTCAGGGCATCATAGTCAGTAACCTGGTCAGGGCCCAGGTCCCGGACAGCATTCAGCGATTCCCCGGTTAGGACGGGGCTAACAGACCAACCCACTGTTGCTTGGGCCAGGCTTCCCTAGTGGCCGTGGCCTCAAATGCATGCAGGTATGCCTCAATGTCATCGGTAGCTCCCATCTTAGATATAAAGTCACTTGCCTTTATTGGGCGGGTATTTTGGACAACCATCTGTCTCTGCAACTGCAATTCCTCTGCCTTCAGAAGGTTGGCTTTCTTTTGCTCCTCCAAGAGAGCCACGTTTGCTTGCATCTGGGCTTGCTGGCCAGCAACAAGGGCTTCCAATATGTCCTCCATTTCAGTCGGCGGGGAGCCTACGGCCAACTTGGAAAACTGGGTGATCAAACCTTCGGTATCCTCCTCTGACATGCACTATTAACGCTTGAGCTTGCCCGTATTCTCCACCATCTGTGACGTCACGAGAGGCTACACAGCTTTCAGCGGGATTGCTCAAGTAGTGCAAGGAGACAAGGTTCAAACAAAACAAGGATTTTATTAAAGGTCTTGGGAAATTAACGAAAATATAACAAAATTCTGTTCTCTTGTGGCTCTTTAAGGGTTAACAGTTCAGGGATGTCTCTTCCACATCCAAAATCATAATTCTCACTCGCTCAGATAACTTTTCCCCAGCCTTACTGTAGTCCACGTTGCAGCTAGTGGCCAACCCAGCAAAAAGTCCTTCCAAATGTCTCTCACGTATTTCCACAGGCGAATATATCCAAAGGTGAGTATTTCCCAAAGGTAAGTATCTCCAAATCCTTATATTCCTCATGGAAGTGGACGTGCAGCACTCTTGTCCTCCAGAGAGCCCAGGTTGGAGACTGTGTTTCTTCACCACCTGCACACCCACCCTCAGTGTGTCTCTTCCCTTCAAAAACCTTCAGCTCATCAGCTCCTGATTTGTTTCAGCTGCGTGGGAAGATTGGCCATAGAGGGGTGGAGTTCCCGACCATACCAGCAGATGGAGCCATAGCTGTCTGGGTTTGCAGCCATCTCAGGGGGATGTAACGTCCCTCCAGGACACAGCCTCTCGTGACATCACAATATATATATATATATATATATATATATATATATATATATATATATATATATATATATATATAGCTCTCTCGTGCTTCTCATTAATTTTGGAAGACATTAATTTGTTAAAAACGTTTAAAATATTATCTCTCTCTTTGAGTCAACTACTCACCGCGTTCTATGCACTGCAATGCTAGCTAGCTGTAGCTTATGCTTTCGGTACTAGATTTATTCTCTGATCCTTTGATTGGGTGGACAACATGTCAGTTCATGCTGCAAGAGCTCTGATAGGTTGGAGGATGTCCTCCGGAAGTTGTCATAATTACTGTGTAAGTCTATGGAAGCGGGTGAGAACCATGAGCCTCCTAGGTTGTGTTGAAGTCAATGTACCCAGAGGAGAACAGAAGCAATCTGTCATGGTGCTACTCTACAGAGTGCTGCTGAGGCTACTGTAGACCTTCATTGCAAAACGTTGTGTTTTAGTCAATTATTAGGTGACATTAATATATTTTAGTATCGTTTTTGTACCCTGTAGCTCAGTTGGTAGAGCATGGCGCTTGCAACGGCAGGGTTGTGGGTTCGTTTCCCACGGGGGGCCAGTATGAAAATGTATGCACTCACTAAGTCGCTCTGGATAAGAGCGTCTGCTAAATGACTAAAATGTAAATGTTTTATCTAAAAAGGATACTTATTTTGTTTCACAATTTTTATTTGTATGAAATTCACTGAGGAGGATGGTCCTCCCCTTCCTCCTCTGAGGAGCCTCCACTGTATTAAAATTATTACATTCTAAAATATGTGAGAATAATGTGGACATTGCCTGACTAAATAGATTGGATGCATGCATGCCGATTTTTCTGTAGCCGACGCAGGTACACATAATAAAGCCATGAATAGCGGTAGCATTCATCTCACCATAACTGTTTTTATGAGAAAGTGACCAAAAACCAGGTTCCTTTTTTAATGGAATGATTTTTATGGAAAGCCAAGTTGAAGCCAACATTAGATGTTGTCGTCCTCATAATAACCGCTTGTGGTTTTAACGCAACAGAGTAGCGCAACACCTGTCAATTGAAGCGGTGTAAAAACAAACTAAAGTGGCCACATATCTCACAGAAACTGATAAAAAATGAAATCACAGATAATTACAGAGGAGCAGGAGGACTTAGAAATTGGCTACAATAATTACAAGGACTTTTCAAGCACCAAATTGAGGAAATGTCGGATTTTCCAGGTGTAACATGATCTGGTAATGAAAACATGTAATTTCATTACCAGATCATATTGTGAATAAGCCCACTAGGCTATGTAATTTGTCATTATATCCTGAATAACTAATAGGAATAGAATTGGGTATTGCGCAATCTATCCTACACAACTGCGCACAGTAGACTGTCCAATCCGAGGCACGAAAACATGAGAGCATGAACTCAGTACTCCTGCTATAAATCAAGCAGACCTTCATACTGTAGACCTTCATTGCAAAACGTTGTGTTTTAGTCAATTATTAGGTGACATTAATATATTTTAGTATCGTTTTTGTACCCTGTAGCTCAGCTGGTAGAGCACGGCGCTTGTAACGCCAAGGTAGTGGGTTTGATCCCCGGGACCACCCATACACAAAAATGTATGCACGCATGACTGTAAGTCGCTTTGGATAAAAGCGTCTGCTAAATGGCATATTATATTATATTATTATTGCCCAGTGTAGGAAATCCTAACTGGTACCCTAGTGTATAGAAGACCCCAAATATTTAAAATGGGAAACCATTGCGATTCCATAAGTAGAGATCGAGTCCTCCATCGGGGTCTTGAGAGGCAGGAGGGTTGATTTGGTTAGATTAATTTTATAACTGTGTTTGGTAGTGATTGAGATACATGATCTACATATAGTAAAATATCGTCTGAGTATAATGAGATGAAGTGATCAGTAGATTTTAGGGAAATTGGTGTTATTTCCTTTGATTGACGAATTGCCTGGTCCAGGGGTTCCATGGATAATAAAATTGGATTGCCATGTCTGCTGCTTCTAGTGATTCTGAACGGAGCAGAGCAGATATTGCCTTTTATAACTATGGCATATACAATGCCTTCAGAAAGTATTAATACCATTTGACTTATTCCACATTTTGTTGTGACAGCCTGAATTCAAAATGTATTAAATCAAGTTTTTTCCCCATGAGAGTTTTTTGTATTTTTGTATTTGTCGTCGTCTTGGGTATGTCTGCATCAGCTTTGCACATCTGGATTTGGGGATTTTCTCCCATTCTTCCTTGCAGATTTTCTCAAGCTCTGTTAAATTAGAGGGGGAGTGGCGGTCAACAGCAATCTTCAAGTCTTTCCACAGATTTTCAATGGGATTCAAGTCTGAGCTTTGGCTGGGCCATTCAAGGACTTTCAAGTTCTTATTCTGAAGCCATTCCAGCATTGCTTTGGCTGTATGCTTGGGTTCATTATCCTGTTGGAACGTAAATCTTTGCACCAGTCCAAGGTCGTTTGCACTCTGAAGCAGGTTCTCATCAAGGATTAGCCTGTTTAGGTTCCATTCATTGTTCCCTCTATCCTTACCAGTCTCCCAGTCCCTGATGCTGAAAAGCATCCCCATAGCATGATGCTGCCCACCACCATGCTTCACAGTAGGGATGGTTTTAGACGGGTGATGAGCTGTGCCTTGTTTTCTCCAGACATGGCACTTTTCATTCAATCCAAAGAGTTACATTTTTGTCTCATCAGACCACAGCATCTGTTGCATTATGATCTCTGTCTTTCACGTGCCTTTTTAAAAACTCCAGGCGGCCCATCATGTGCCTTTTTCTCAGGAGTGGCTTCCGTCTGGCCACTCTACCATAAGGTGCTGTAGAGACTGTTGTCCTTCTGGCAGGTTCTCCCATCTCCGCCAAGGAACTCTGTAATTCTGTCCGAGTGGTCATTGGGTTCTTTGTCACCTCCCTGACCAAGGTCATTCTTGCCTTGTTGCGCAGTTTGGTCGGATGACCAGCTCTACGCAGAGTTTGCGTAGTTCCAGATTTTTCAATTTACCAATGATGGAGACCACTGAGCTCTTGGAAACTTTCAACACTTTCAATTGTTTTATACCCTTCCCCAGATATATTCCTCATCACAATTCTATCTCGGAGATCTACGGACAGTTCCTTGGACTTCATGGTGTAGTTTCTGCTCTGACATACACTGTCAACTGTGGGACCTTACATAGACAGGTGTTTCTTTCTAAATCATGTACAAACAATTTGAATTGGCCACAGGTGGACTCAATCAAGTTGTAGTGACATCTCAAGGATGATCAAAGGAAATTGGATGCACCTGAGCTCAATTTAGTGTCATAGCAAATTGGTGTGAATACTTACAGTATGTAAATATCTGTATTTCGTCTTTAATACATTTGCAAAAATGTCTAAACATGTTTACTTTGTCAATTATAGGGTATTGTGTGTAGATGGGTTAAAAAATAAAATCTATTAAATTCATTTTGAATTCGGGCTATAACACAACAAAATGTGGAATAAGTCAAGGGGTATGACTTCTTTCTGAAGGCACTGTAGTATTTTAATCATATTAATGAAATTGGAGCCAGTTCCCATATGTTCCAAGACAGACCAGAAATATGACCATTCTAGCCTTATCAAAAGCGTTTTCTTCATTGAGCGAAAATACAGTCCAAGGAGCTGTTGTTTCTGATGAAGCATCTGTAGAGGTTATCTGAGGATAAACACTTTCTATCAAACCCGCTTTGGTCAGTGTGGACAAATTTAGGTAAGTAAATCTCGAGACGGGACAACAACATTTTGGTAAACAGTTTAATATCTGTGTTTATCAAAGATAAGGGGCAATAGTAAGAACACTGGGTGGCATCCTTACTTTTTTTTCGAAAAGTGAACTTACTGTTGTATTCACATCTCTCCCAAAATAACCTGTGTGAACAACTGTATTAATCATTTCAAGCAATAGTGGACCTAATTGATTCCAGGAGGAATACTGTCCCATCCAGGTGATTTGCCTTTATTCATGCTATCCAATGCCCTTTTGAGATCATTGAGAGACGTGGCTTCCTCTGTTGAGAGAAGAGTTGTTAATTATTTTAGAAAATACTTAGTCTGGCTTGGTATGGCTTTACAGTTATTTATAGAAGCGGGAGAATCTTTGATTCATTTGGGTTCTGATAGTAATTACCCTGTTTCAATAGTTGCTATATCAGCTAATTGATCAAATAAAAGAAAAGTTTATTTGTCACATACACGTGTTTAGCAGATGTTATTGCGGGTGTAATGAAATGCTTGTGCTTCTAGCTCCGACAGTGCAGTAATATTCCCAGTCACCTTGCCATGGTTAAATGCGGTGGTTCGCACTTTCAGTTTTGCACGAATGCTGCCATCTATCCACGGTTTCTGGTTAGGGTAGGTTTTAATAGTCACAGTGGGCACAACATCTCCTATACACTTCTCCTATACACTTCCTGATAAACTCAGTCACTGTTTCAGTGTATTCGTTGAAATTATTTTCGCAAGCTACGGAACAAATCCCAGTCCGCGTGATCAAAACAATCTTGAAGCGTGGATTCCGATTGGTCAGACCAGCGTTGAATAGTCCTTAGCACGGTACTTCTGTTTGAGTTTCTGCCTATATAGGAAGGGAGGAACAAAATGGAGTCGTGGTCAGATTTGCCGAAAGGAGGGCAGGGAAGGGCCTTGTAAGCATCCGGGAAGTTTGAATAGCAATGGTCGAGGGTTATTTTATTATTATTTATTTTTTGCCGCGCGAGGAGAATAGTTGATATGTTGATAGAACTTCGGCAGCCTAGTCCTCAAATTTGCTTTGTTAAAATCCCCAGCTACAATAAATTCAGCCTCAGGATATGTGGTTTCCAGTTTGCATAAAGTCCAGTGAAGTTCTTTGAGGGCCGTCGTGGCTTGTTGGCCAGTAAACGACTGGGACGATTACCATGGAAGTAATGGTTGAGTCTTACTCAATGGATGGCAAATTCTGCTCTCTGTCTTATCAATAAATTAAGTGCTGTCTTGACTTTGGAAAGAGTAATAGGTACCTGGTCTGAAAAGTGTTTGTTGAGAATGCTCCAACACAGTTAAAAACATTTCCACATCTATGTAGAACTTTTTAAATCTAGACACATCACTTCACATGACCCAGCCCGCATCCACCTATGACTCATCTGGTTTTACTAGTTAGGGTTTTTGTGGCTAATCTTACGTTTATCTCCTAGGTATCAAGACTAAGGTGGTGGATGTGACCAAGAAGGACCAAGTGGAAGCTCTGGCCAAGGAGTTTGACCATGTAGATGTGCTGTTCAATGTTGCCGGGTATTTTTTTTGCTTTTTCCTGTTCCTTTTTCACTTGTACTTGTATCTTATTTATATATTATTTGAGGGATTGATTCAATTATATCGATGACACACAAAATTAAAAGTAAGATGTGTTGCACCATCACACAACATTTTCCAAAATTTCCAAAAAAAGTAGCTGGGGCACTGTCTACATACATTTTGAATTTTGAGTAAACCATTCAAATTATGTCTTCACATTTTCCCTCTCCACATACAGTATCTGCACAATTTCAACAGGTCACATTTCACACTTTTTAAGACCACTGCAAATACAATTTAAAGGGTTACTTCGGGATTTTGGCAATGAAGCCCTTTATTGGGCTCCCGAGTGGCACAGTGTTCTAAGGCACTGCATCTCAGTGCTTGAGGCATCACTACAGACCCCCTGGTTCAATTCCAGGCTGTATCACAACCGGCCGTGATTGGGAGTCCCATAGGGCGCCGCACAATTGGCCCAGCGTAGTCCGGGTTTGGCCGGTGTAGGCCGTCATTGTAAATAATAATTGGTTCTTAACTGACTTGCCTAGTTAAATAAAGGTAAAATTTAAATAAAAATAAAAATCTACTTACATAGTCAGATTAACTCATGGATACCATTTTAATGTATCTGCATTCAGTATGAAGGAAATTGGAGGTAGCTTTGTGAGCCAATGACTGGAAGTCTACAGTATCCACTAGCATGCTAGCAGTTACCATAGACTTCCAGGCATTAGGCTAATGCTCGTTATCAATTACGCTAATGCTTGTTAGCAACTTCCGTCAAGCTGATTGGGAACACCGCCATTTTGGATCATCCATGATTGACCACTACCCATCACCCCCTCCCAGGTTTGTCCATCACGGCTCCATCCTGGACTGCGAGGAGGCGGACTGGGACTTCACCATGAACGTCAACGTCCGCAGCATGTACCTCATGAGCAGGGCTTTCCTGCCCAAGGTGACCAACCACCCCGCCCGCCCCTTCACTCCACCCGACCTCTGACCCCAGGATTAAGAAACACACAGTCCTCACCAGATGTACACTACATGTCAAAAGTTTTAGAACACCTACTCATTAAAGGGTTTTTCTTTATTTTCTACATTGTAGAATAATATCAAAACTATGAAATAACCAAAAAAGTGTTAAACAAATCAAAATATATTTTATATTTGAGATTCTTCAAATATCCACCCTTTGCCTTGATGACAGCTTTACACACTCTTGGCATTCTCTCAACCAGCTTCACCTGGAATGCTTTTCCAACAGTCTTGAAGGAGTTGCCACATATGCTGAGCACTTGCTACTTTTCCTTCACTCTGTGGTCCAACTCATCCCAAACCATCTCAATTGGGTTGAGGTCTGGGGATAGTGGAGGCCAGGTCATCTGATGCAGCACTCTCCTTCATGGTCAAATAGCCCTTACACAGCCTGTGTTGGGTCATTGTCCTGTTGAAAAACAAATGATAGTCCCACTAAGCCCAAACCAGATGGGATGGCGAATCGCTGCAGAATGCTGTGGTAGCCATGCTGGTTAAGTATGCCTTGAATTCTAAATAAATCACAGACAGTGTCACCAGCAAAGCACCCCCACACCATAACACTGCATCCTCCATGCTTTACGGTGGGAAATAAACATGCAGAGATCATCCGTTCACCCACACCTCATCTCACAAAGACATGGCGGTTGGAACCAAAGGTCTCCAATTTGGACTCCAGACCAAAGGACAAATTTCCACCGGTCTAATGTCCATTGCTTGTGTTTCTTGGCCCAAGCAAGTCTCTTCTTCTTATTCGTGTCCTTTAGTAGTGGTTTATTTGCAGCAATTCGACCATGAAGGCCTGATTTACACAGTCTCCTCTGAACAGTTGATGTTGAGATGTGTCTGTTACTTGAACTCTGTGAAAGATTTATTTGGGCTGCAATTTCTGAGGCTGGTAACTCTAATGAACTTATCCTCTGCAGCAGTGGTAACTCTGGGTCTTCCATTCCTGTGGCGGTCCTCATGAGAGCCAGTTTCATCATAGTGCTTGATGGATTTTGCGACTGCACTTGAAGAAACTTTCAAAGTTCTTGACATTTTTCATATTGACTGACCTTCATGTCTTAAAGTAATGATGGACTGTCGTTTCTCTTTGCTTATTTGAGCTGGTCTTGCCATAGTATGGACTTGGTCTTTTACCGAATAGGGCTATCTTCTGTATACCTTGTCACAACACAACTGATTGGCTCAAACGCATTAAGAAGGAAAGAAATTCCACAAATTAACTTTTAACAAGGCACACCTGTTAATTGAAATGCATTCCAGGTGACTACCTCATGAAGCTGTTTGAGAGAATGCCAAGAGTGTTCAAAGCTGTCATGAAAGCAAAGGGTGGCTATTTGAAGAATCTCAAATATAAAATATATTTTGATTTGTTTAACACTTTTTTGGTTACTACATGATTCCATATGTGTTATTTCATAGTTTTGATGTCTTCACTATTATTCTACAATGTATAAAATAGTGAAAATAAAGAAAAACCCTTGAATGAGTAGGTGTTCTAAAACCTTTGACCGGTAGTGTATTTTGACAGTGAAGCTGCAGTGCCTTCAGAAAGTATACATACCCCTTGACTTATTCCACATTTTGTTACAGCCTGAATTCAGAATGGATTAAATATATTTTCTCACCTGTCTACACACATTAGGGTGACAAAGTGAAAACATGTTTTCATTGAAAATGAAATTCAGAAATATCTAATGTACTTAAGTATTCACACCCACACAGTGATTACAGCTGTGAGTCATTTTGGGTAAGTCTCTAAGAGCTTTGCACACCTGGATTGTACAATATTTGCTCATTATTATTTTTAAAGATGCACTATACAGAAATCGCTCCGCTATTTCCTGGTTGCTAAAATTCTATCAGGTTGCCTAATTTAAGTTTGTGACAAAACAAGCAAGTATGTTGTAGAGAATCACTGTACCATCTAAACCGCTGTGAAAGTTACGTATTGCAGCTTTAAAATACTTTAAGCTCTGTCAAGTTGATTGTTGATAATTGCTAGATTGCCGTTTTCAAGTAGATTTAAGTCAACTAACTATGCCACTTGGGAACATTCAATGCCGTCTTGGTATCCAACTCCAGTGTAGATTTGGCCTTGTTTTTTAGGTTATTGTCCTGCTGAAAGGTGAATTTGTATCCCAGTGTCTGTTGGAAAGCAGACTGAACCAGGTTTTACTCAAGGATTTTGCCTGTGCTTATAGCTGTATTCCGTTTCTTTTCATCCTGGAAAAACTCCCTAGTTCTTGCCGATGACAAACATACCCATAACATGATGCAGCCACCACCATGCTTGAAAATATGAAGAGTGGTACATTGTGTTGTATTTGCCCCAAACATAACGCTTTGTATTCAAGATTTGTATTTGCCACTTTTTTTTGCAGTGTTAAGTGCAAACAGGAAGTATGTTTTTGAATGTTTTTTTATTCTGTACAGGCTTCCTTCTTTTCACACTGTCATTTAGGTTAGCATTGTGGAGTAACTACAAGTTGTTGATCCATCCTCAGTTTCTCATATCACAACCATTAAACTCTGTAACTGTTTTCTTTAAATCACCATTGGCCTCATGGTGAAATCCCTGAGCAGTTTCCTTCCTCTCCGGCAACTGAGTTAGGAAGGACGCCTGTATCTTTTTAGTGACTGGGTGTATTGTTACACCATCCAAAGAGTAGTTAATAATAACTTCACTATACTCAGTGATATTCAGCATCTGCTTTTTTTATTTTTACACATCTACCAATCAGTGCCCTTCTTTGCAAGGCATTGGAAAAACTGCCCTGGTCTTTGTGGTTGAGTCTGTGCTTGAAATGTACTACTCTACTGAGGGACCTTACAGATAATTGTATGTGTGGGGTACAGAGATGGTAGTCATTAAAAAATCACGTGAACCACTATTATTGAACACGGAATGAGTCCATGCAACTTATTATGCGATTTGTTAAGCCCATTTTTACTCCTGAACTTTATGCTTGCCATAACAAACAGGTTGAATACTTGACTCATTTCAGCTATTCATTTTTATATTGATTTTTTTTTTAAATCTACAAACAATTCCACTTTGACATTATGGGGTATTGTGTGTAGATCAGTTACACAATCTCAATTGAATCCATTTTAAATTCAGACTGTAACACAACAAAAATGTGGAAAAAGTAAAGCGGTGTGAATACTTTCTGAAGGCACTGTAAAACATTTATTTTACGCCAACATTTTGCATTTGAAATTAAATGATGAGTATGAGGCGAAAGTACAGAATGTCACCTTTTTTAAAGGTTTTGTCATTTCTATCGGTTTTAACATTTAGAAATAAAGGCAATATGTATGAAGTGTCGTCGTCGTCCCCCCCCCCCCTTATAGTATGTAAAGCAATCTAAAGTATAGTATTTGATCACATATCCCTTGCACACTGACTGCATCAAAGTTGTGACACTATGGGCTCTATTTTCATCTGGTGTAAAGACAGCACAATTATCAAACGCATGCTCGTTGGCAATTTCGACCTGCGCTCAGCTATTTTCAAACACTTGTGCCAGGATTGGTACTGTAATTTACCTGTCTTTTAATGAGCTCGCTTGTGATGTTGACTGTTAACACTCCAAACATATTAAGCAAACACTGGATGTGGGGTTTTGGGGGGGTGTATTACTCATTACTGTAGCCTATGCTATTTAATTAACTGTATCAGTCCACAATGGACTAGGATGAGAATATTCTGTGCCCCCAGCTGAATTGGAGTTGATGACATCACAAAAATGCAGCATGAAACACGTTGCTTGGCCAGTGAGGGGCCAAGCCCTCGTCACACCTTCAAATAATTACTTCATCAAAACCCAGCCCTTTCACGCAACCACCAGTTATTGCGCCCATAATTCTGGTTGTGTTGACAGTCAACATTGTTGTAATGGCTTCAACGATGCCTTTACGCATCGCACTTGTCCTCAGATAAAAAATACTAAGCTCCCATAAATTGTATTGTATGTGTGAAGCACGTTCTTAATAAGCAAGATATAGCCGAGGCCTACCGTTGATATGGTGTTATAGAACAGAAAATGTTGAGTAGCCTATGTTTGGAGGAGCATGTCTTTGTTAACCGGACAAGAGGCGCTCTTTGGATAGGGGGATGGATACAAGCCAAATGGAACACAAATAGTCTAACCATAAATTATTTCTCAATGGTCTACTCGTGACTCTTTTGCTGACATGCTTTTGTATTAAGCCTACTGTATGTGAATTTTGACAAGCATGTCGGCAAAAGCGCCACAAGTAGACCATTGAAAAAACAATTTATGGATAGGCTATTTGTGCATGGCCAGGATAAGAATGACACCAGACACATTGCTGCTGAACCAGCTTTCGTTATAGTAGGATAAGGGTTTTTCAATGAAAGGAAACAGAAAACAAGATTGTTACAGGAAAATAACTTAAATGTTTCTAAATACGAATCACCGGATTATCTCATCTCTCGTTCCATGATGGGCATATAGCCTACATGGAGGGATTTTGATGTACATCCAAAATAATTTAACATTTTAGTAATTTAGCAGACTTTCTTACAGTGCCTTGCAAAAGTTTTCATCCCCCTTGGCGTTTTTCCTATTTTGTTGCATTACAACCTGTAATTTAAATGGATTTATATTTGGATTTCATGTAATGGACATACACAAAATAGTCCAAATTGTTGAAGTGAAAGGAAAAAAATATCTGAAACTTTGAACATCCCACGGAGCACCATTTAAATCCATTATTAAAAAATTGAAAGAATATGGCACCACAACAAACCTGCAAAGAGAGGGCCGCCCACCAAAACTCACAGACCAGGCAAGGAGGGCATTAATCAGATAGGCAACAAAGTGACCAAAGATAACCCTGAAGGAGCTGCAAAGCTCCACAGCGAAGATTGGAGTAACTGTCCATAGGACCACTTTAAGCTGTACACTCCACAGAGCTGGGCTTTACGGAAGAGTGGCCAGAAAAAAGCCATTGCTTAAAGAAAAAAATAAGCGAACACGTTTGGTGTTCGCCAAAAGGCATGTGGGAGACTCTCCAAACATATGGAAGAAGGTACTCTGATCAGATGAGACTAAAATTGAGCTTTTTGGCCATCAAGGAAAACGCTATGTCTGGCGCAAACCCAACACCTCTCATCACCCCGAGAACACCATCCCCACAATGAAGCATGGTGGTGGCAGCATCATGAAGGAATGATGGATGGCGCTAAATACAGGGAAATTCTTGAGGGAAACCTGTTTCAGTCTTCCAGAGATTTGAGACTGGGATGGAGGTTCACCTTCCAGCAGGACAATGACCCTAAGCATACTGCTAAAGCAACACTCAAGTGGTTTAAGGGGAAACATTTAAATGTCTTGGAATGGCCTAGTCAAAGCCCAGACCTCAATCCAATTGAGAATCTGTGGTATGACTTAAAGATTGCTGTACACCAGCGGAACCCATCCAACTTGAAGGAGCTGGAGCAGTTTTGCCTTGAAGAATGGGCAAAAATCCCAGTGGCTAGATGTGCCAAGCTTATAGAGACATACCTCAAGAGACTTGCAGCTGTAATTGCTGCAAAAGGTGGCTCTACAAAGTATTGACTTTGGGGGGGTGAATAGTTATGCATGCTCAAGTTTTCAGTTTTTTTGTCTTATTTCTTGTTTGTTTCACAATAAAACATATTTTGCATCTTCAAAGTAGTAGGCATGTTGTGTAAATCAAATGATACAAACCCCCCCCAAAATATATTTTAATTCCAGGTTGTAAGGCAACAAAATAGGAAAAATGCCAAGGGGGGTGAATACTTTCGCAAGCCACTGTATCCAGACCAACTTACAGGAGCGATTAGGGTTAAGTGCCTTGCTCAAGGGCACAGACAGATTTTTCAGCTAGTGGCCTGGTTAATGGCCCAATGCTCTTAACCGCTAGGCTACCTGCCAGGTTCTGGATAAAATTATGTCATAGCCTACATTGATAAAAAGGGGATGTCTGCTCACTGTCTTGCTGCTGCCAAACTTAATCTTTCAAACTTAACCTTTCAATAAAGCTTTTGTGATTATTATTTATTTCAAAGCGGTCTCACGAGCCACGCCCTTTATCGATAGTTTTGACTTCTTGGTCCTCTGTAGCTCAATTGGTAGAGCATGGCGCTTATAACGCCAGGGTAGTGGGTTTGATCCCCGGGACCACCAATACGTAAAAATGTATGCACACATGACTGTACGTCGCTTTGGATAAAAGCGTCTGCTAAATGCCATATTATTATTATTATTATTATTATTATTATTATTATTATTACTTCTTGGCGAATGTATTTGGCATGACCAAGGCGTTCGTGTAGGGGCGTTCCTTGTAGTTACTGCAGCAGATATTGTTGCGGAAACCTGCCCAAGATGTGTATACTGTAGCATAGTGTCTTATTAGTAAGTTATCTACTATGTAGACTTAATAATTAAACATTTTGAAATATATAGATAAATTGTCTTTTAAATTAGATAACTTACTTTTAGATAACACTCTCCTGTTGATCAACTATTTCTTTCTCAACTCAGATGTTGGCCAAGAAGTCTGGGAATATCATTAACATGGCTTCTGTGGCCTCCAGTATAAAAGGTAAGGATGTGATTATTTTTTATACTGAACAAAAATATAAACGCAACATGCAACAAATTTGTGCACAACATTTGAGAGAAGATTTTTGTGCGTATGGAAAATGTCTGTGATCTTTTATTTCAGCTCATTAAACATGGGACTAACGCTTTACATCTTGCGTTTATATTTTCGTTCAGTGTGTGTATATATACTGTATATAATATGGTATGGTAATTCATCATGAACATCCAATGAAATCTGGTCACAGTCCATGTCCACACTATCGAATCCTCTGACTATGTATTTAGTCAAGCAAAACTTTTGTGGGTGCGTGTGTTCCCTCCATAGGTGTGGTGAATCGATGCGTGTACAGCACCTCCAAGGCTGCTGTCATTGGGCTCACCAAATCTATAGCAGCCGATTTTCTCGAGCAAGGAATTCGCTGTAACTGTGTATGTCCTGGTAAGCACTGCACCCTACATTCCTAAAATCGGATTAACGTGCCTTTCCTTTTTAATCATGACTCAAGGACAGCATGATCTGTGTTAGATTATAACACAAACACTGCTTACAGGCCCTGCTTACAGGCATGCTACACTGGACAGGTAACTTTTGCCATGCATGATACGCTCCCATTTATTTCAATGAAACCCGGTCATAAGCAGTGTGGCTCCGCGAGTGGCTCGCACTGCTCAGTTTAAAATTACGCTCTGGTTCTATTTTCAAGAATTTTACATGCCGCTCACGCCCGAGACAAGTTCGCAGTACAGAGATGTCTCCCTGTGAAAAGTGTATTGCTTTTGTTTAATCATTGTGATGTACCATACACTGTATAAAGAATAGTGATTATGTACAAAATGTATGTGTCCTTTCTGCTAAACAGGGACCGTGGACACCCCGTCTCTGAGGGGGAGAATCCAGGCTCAGCCTAATCCAGAACAGGTACTCTCTACCTTCCACAACTACTGTCATATATTGTTTTAGTGTATAACAGGACAGCCTAAAATAAGCTCCCAGTGCACCATATGTCTGTGCGTAAATGAATAATCATTAACTGATTTCTGTCAATGTTGCATGTACCAACACTGCCTATATTCGATGGCTATTTTACGTGCCCCTTTTAACCCACAGTGGCAAAAGCTCCATTAGAAAGAGAATTATGCCAATAGTAATTCTATTTCTATGATCTATGTCCTGCTTAATCTCTGCAGGCCCTAAAAGACTTCATGGCGAGACAGAAGACAGGACGAATGTGCACTGCCGAGGAGGTGGCACACCTCTGTGTCTACCTGGCCTCAGACGAGGTGAGTGCATTCCATGGTCTGCAGCGCCCACAGCAAAAAAAGTATCAATGTTGGGTTAATGTTTTATTTGTGTTACCGTGCTAACCACTGGGTGCTAAGTGACAACTAATGTAGCCGGGGTTTAGTTATATTCTTTTCTTCAACAATTTATTTGAAACATCTTTTAAGCTAAGTTGTTATGATATTTTCGCCCTTATGACATAGCATCCAAGTAAGTGTAACTGTTTATTCCACCTCCCTCTAGTCTGCCTATGTCACCGGAACTGAGCAGATCATTGATGGAGGATGGAGGCTCTGAAGAACCTACAGTACAGAGCACAAGGAAGCACTAGAAAACTGCCACGAGTTACTGTTAGTTACAGTAATAGAACTTTCAGTAGCCTATGCCTTATATGGTATGCCAAAATCTTGAGTTATTTTGAAATCATACAGAAGCTGCTGATATTTTTTCAGATTTTTAATGTTTTTCATGTAGTGTTTGATTATGTGGTGTACATTTAACACAGTCCTTTCAAAAATTATGTTGAAGAATAATGACTTCTGGTTTCCTGGTTTTGTAGCACCAATAATACCTCTTAAGTGTACAATTAACATACTGTAATCAACTAGTTTTAAACACCCATCTCATTGTACATGTGATTTTGAGCGTATTGACATAATGATTCCATATAGCTAATAAACAAAAATGCAATACTTGACTATGCAATTTTTATAACTCATTTACATAAAAGAGTGTGTTGTAACTGCTAGTTTGTGAAGCATAATAACATTTACATTTACGTCATTTAGCAGACGCTCTTATCCAGAGCAACTTACAGTTAGTGAGTGCATACATAATTTTTTTATTTTTCATACTGGCCCCCCGTGGGAATCGAACCCACAACCCTGGCGTTGCAAACGCCATGCTCTACCAACTGAGCTACATCCCTGCCGGCCATTCCCTCCCCTACCCTGGACGACGCTGGGCCAATTGTGCGCCGCCCCATGGGTGACCCAAACACTATTGTTTATAGTGTTTGGGTCTTTGCAAGCAGTTGATTGGCAGCGTGAAAACCAATCATGTAACAACCGCTATCCTTCTGTACCTTCACACTGTATAGCTTTATAGTTTTTTCTCTGATCCTCTGTGTGTGAAAGTTACTCCAGTTTAGCATCTCAACTCAGCAACCTCCTACTCCAGTTGCTCCAGGACTCCATTAGCCAAACTCACTTCAGTCTTCTCCTGGGCTCTGATCAGTTCCTCCACCTCAGAGCACCTTCTCGCAATGGTGCTGATCAGCTCAGTAAGATCCTCACTGTTATCAAATCACATTTTATTTGTCACATACACGTGTTTAGCAGATGTTATTGCGGGTGTAGCGAAATGCTTGTGCTTCTAGCTCCGACAGTGCAGTAATATCTAACAAGTAATATCTAACAATTTCACAACATACACCCAATACACACAAATCTAGGTAAGGAATGGAATTAAGAATAAATACATATATGGATGAGCAATGACTGTCACGATCGTTGAGACGGGTCAGACCAAGGTGCAGCGTGGTATGCGTACATGTTTATTAAGACGAATAAACACTTGACAAAATAACGAAACGTGAAGCTCAAACAGTGGCTACACACAACAAGCCAAACACGAGTCAAGATCCCACAACTAAGGTAGGCAACCAGGCTACCTAAGTATGATCCTCAATCAGAGACAACGAGCGACAGCTGCCTCTGATTGGGAATCACACCCAGCCAAACATAGAAATATCAAACTACATCTACAACCTAGAAATACAATAACAAAGATCTCAACAGAAACTCACACCATGACCCAACCAACAAGAGTTCTCTAGATCAGGGCGTGACAATGACAGTGGCATGGACTAAGATACAGTAGAATAGTATAGAAGAGATGGCTGCTGCCTCTCTAACCTGGTGGTCCCTGCACGCACCACACACCTGGAGTTCCAGGTCTCAGGCAGCCTCTGGAACTGCCGTTCTGCTGCCAACAAGGCAGAGTTCATCCCAGCCTATGCTACCTACCCTCCAGTCCCTCGATTTCTTGGCGCTGACGGAAACATGGATTACCACTGCTCTCTCCTCGTCTGACCATGTGTTCTCGCATACCCCGAGAGCATCTGGTCAGCGGGGTGGTGGCACAGGAATCCTCATCTCTCCCAAGTGGACATTCTCAATTTTTTCCCCTAACCCATCTGTCTATCTCCTCATTTGAATTCCACGCTGTCACAGTCACTAGCCCATTTAAGCTTAATATCCTTGTCATCTATCGCCTTCCAGGTTCCCTTGGAGAGTTCATCAATGAGCTTGACGCCTTGATAAGTTCCTTTCCTGAGGATGGCTCACCCCTCACAGTTTTGGGGGATTTCAACCTCCCTACGTCTACATTTGACTCATTTCTCTCTGCCTCCTTCTTTCCACTCCTCTCCTCTTTTGACCTCACCCTCTCACCGTCCCCCCCTACTCACAAGGCAGGCAATACGCTTGACCTCATCTTTACTAGATGCTGTTCTTCTACTAATCTCACTGCAACTCCCCTCCATGTCTCCGACCACTACTTTGTATCCTTTTCTCTCTCGCTCTCCTCCAACACTACTCACTCTGCCCCTACACAGATGGTAATGCGCCGCCGCAACCTTCGCTCGCTCTCTCCCGCTACTCTCTCCTCTTCCATCCTATCATCTCTTCCCTCTGCTCAATCCTTCTCCCTCCAATCTTCTGATTCTGCCTCCTCGGCCGGCTCGGTCCTCCCCTCCAGCTCCGTGGCTTGATGACTCATTGCGAGCTCACAGAACAGAGCTCCGGGCAGCTGAGCGGAAATGGAAGAAAACTAGACTCCCTGCGGACCTGGCATCTTTTCACTCCCTCCTCTCTACATTTTCTTCATCTGTTTCTGCTGCTAAGGCCACTTTCTACCACTCTATATTCCAAGCATCTGCCTCTAACCCTAGGAAGCTCTTTGCCACATTCTCCTCCCTGCTGAATCCTCCCCCCCCCCCCCCCCCCCCCCCCCCCCCCCCCCTCCTCCCTCTCTGTGGACCTGTCTGCTGCCTTTGATACTGTGAACCATCAGATCCTCCTCTCCACCCTCTCCGAGCTGGGCATCTCCGGCGCGGCTCACTCTTGGATTGCGTCCTACCTGACCGGTCGCTCCTACCAAGTGGCGTGGCGAGAAGCTGTCTCTGCACCACATGCTCTCACCACTGGTGTCCCCCAGGGCTCAGTTCTAGGCCCTCTCATATTCCCACTATACACCAAGTCACTTGGCTCTGTCATATCCTCACATGGCCTCTCCTATCATTGCTACGCTGACGATACACAACTAATCTTCTCCTTTCCCCCTTCTGATAACCAGGTGGCGAATCGCATCTCTGCATGTCTGGCAGACATATCAGTATGGATGACGGATCACCACCTCAAGCTGAACCTTGGCAAGACGGAGCTGCTCTTCCTCCCGGGAAGGACTGCCCGTTCCATGATCTCGCCATCACGGTTGACAACTCCGTTGTGTCCTCCTCCCAGAGTGCGAAGAGCCTTGGCGTGACCCTGGACAACACCCTGTCGTTCTCCGCTAACATCAAGGTGGTGACCCGATCCTGTAGGTTCATGCTCTACAACATTCGGAGAGTATGACCCTGCCTTACACAGGAAGCGGCACAGGTCCTAATCCAGGCACTTGTCATCTCCCGTCTGGATTACTGCAACTCGCTGTTGGCTGGGCTCCCTGCCTGTGCCATTAAACCCCTACAACTCATCCAGAATGCCGCAGCCCGTCTGGTGTTCAACCTTCCCAAGTTCTCTCACGTCACCCCGCTCCTCCGCACACTCCACTGGCTTCCAGTTGAAGCTCGCATCTGTTACAAGACCATGGTGCTTGCCTTTGGAGCTGTGAGGGGAACGGCACCTCCGTACCTTCAGGCTCTGATCAGTCCCTACACCCAAACGAGGGCATTGCGTTCATCCACCTCTGGCCTGCTGGCTCCCCTTCCTCTGCGGAAGCATAGTTCCCGCTCAGCCCAGTCAAAACTGTTCGCTGCTCTGGCACCCCAATGGTGGAACAAGCTCCCTCACGACGCCAGGACAGCGGAGTCACTCACCACCTTCTGGAGACATTTGAAACCCCACCTCTTTAAGGAATACCTGGGATAGGATAAAGTAATCCTTCTACCCCCCCCCCCTCAAAAAAAAATGTGTAAAGTGGTTATCCCACTGGCTATAGGGTGAATGCACCAATGTGTAAGTCGCTCTGGATAAGAGCGTCTGCTAAATGACGTAAATGTAAATGTAATATGTCGTGACGTGACTTGCATTAATGTGATGACTTATTTATCAAATCAATTAACTATGTTTAATTGTCACTCAATTAAATTAATCATGTAACAATTAACTCATTGGGAATTTGGGGCACCACGGAAGAAGTTGTTTAACGAGTAAAATCATTACCTCATCAGTCTCATTCTGAACGCCGCATAATCCTTGAACCTGCAAGAACCCTAACCTTATTGATGAATCAGCAATACACAAATTGTCTTAATTATTTATTTACTAACTAAATAATAACACAGAATACAAACACACACACGGTATAGGTTACTGTTTACTAACGTAATACAATGAAAACAGGTCCCTAGTGGACTGGACTAACAATAGCATTACTTCTTGTTTAGGGGAAGGAGGGGTCAATAGAAAGAGAGTGAAAGGGAGAGACAGAGATTCAACTTATCATTGTTACATTTGGAAACCACCACTCATTTGGATAAGAAATGCAATGCATATTTATGCGTAGCTGTACTTGATCGTCATCTCTCTGTTGAACCACTTTCTCAAAAAGGGTTTGAGTGTCCTATCCCACTTCGGTGAGACTCGGCTTGTCTTCGAATGGAGTGTTCGTTAGAATAGATACTTCAGATGTATCAACGGTTGTCAGAGAAGGATTGTCCTTCCCAACTCGTGTCTTTAGTGAAAGTTCTAGACACTTTGCATGTACAGCTGCAGACTGATATAAGGTCTAGTGCGTGGTCTTCTTCTCGTGTAGAGATTGATATCTTCTCCATTTCAAACGTATGGACTACCGTCTCACGTGTTCTGGTCTGTAGCGTATCAACCATTTTAAGGCGTGTAGCCACAGCTCCACACTTCCTGGTCTAAAGGTTGATTTGTTTTTCAAGGCTTTTTATGCCCTCTGGGTAAAAGGGGTGTTCCATCGTGATGACACGATCGCTGATGTCACTCGGGGCGTGGCTAGTCACTGTGCGTAGTTTATATGAAAAACTATTATCTCATTAGAAGATT